AAAAACTTAAGATGGATCTAGGAACTTCATCTCTTTCAGGTACAATGTTCATATATTAATTCCTTTTTTTAAAAAAAAAAAATTATTTATTTATTTATTTAGAGACAGAGTCTTGCTCTTGTTGCCCAGGCTGGAGTGCAGTGGCACCATCTCGGCTCACTGCAACCCCTGCTTCTCGGGTTCAAGCAATTCTCCTGCCTCAGCCTCCCAAGTAGCTGGGACTACAGGCAGGCACTGCTATGCCTGGCTATTTTGTATTTTTAGTAGAGATGAGGTTTCTACATGTTGGTCAGGCTGGTCTCAAACTCCTGACCTCAGGTGATCTGTCCACCTCAGCCTCCCAAAGTGCTACAATTACAGGTTTGAGCCACTCTGTCCGGCCCACGTATTAATTCTTATTGTGTGTTGTTTTAACATAGGAAAAATAAAACTAATCCTCATCGGGTTTCCCAAAGTCTTCTTTTAAAGTTTTCACAATAAACATTCTGGGATATTTGGCCTGTAGAAGTCACGTCTGCACACTGAGGGATAGGGCTGGAGTCAGGGAGAAAGGAGTTGAGCTCCTTCAGTTTCCAATTTCCAAGATTTAAAAGCAAAAGAAAAAATGTCACATTAAGAAAAGGAAAATCAAACAGCTACAATTTATTTTTCTTTCACAGGAAATATAAGTATGTAATGTAAACACTGACACAGTACAAGGATCAGGAAGACAAGTGAATTGGACAATACTTTTGCTTTAACACTTTACTGCTTCCTGATTTCATTTGCAGCATGAATTACATGGTTATCTAGACTGGCAAAATTAAAGGCAACATTCAGATTTACAGATAAACCAAAGAGCCTCTGAAATCCAATAATGCCGTAGGGAAGTCTGATCTTTCTGTTGCAAAAAAAAATTTAAAGCTGGGCACACATCCATTTATCCATTTATCCAAGGCATTTAATGTAAGAGCATAAGAATGCACTGATTAACACATGAGCTTTAATATGCTTGTGGAGGCAAAGATTAAATTGTGCCTCTTCTCCCTCTTCAGAGAAAATGAAATTAACCAAATTAAAAGCAGAGCTGCCTGATACTGGCCAGAAGACTATATAATCACAGTGATTTATTATTTCAATAAATCCCAGGAAATGCAAAATGCAATAAATGATTGCCATTGGAGCTTTACCCAAATGGTCACCCCAGACCTCACGCTGCAGAATCATATCAGGTTTTCAAGGTTCTCTCCTAGAAATCCAAAGTTGGAAAAATGACCCAAATAAATGGTTGGGATAAAGGCCATCATCATTTAAAACAAAGGGCCTATTTCCAAACTTGAATTCAGTAATAAAGAGTATGGGCTGCAATTTTCTCTGATTATCCCGAAAGATTAAAATAATCTGTCTTTCTTATCATATGACACCTACCAGTCAGGAGGTAAATTTTGATAATAGATGCCTACCGTGCAGACTGGTTCAGTAATGGTACTCAGCATCACAAGATTTGGGGGTTCAGATAAGGCGGCTTTAGAGCTAGAAATCAGAGAACCATGAATTTACCAAGTACACCTACTCCCTCACTCAGCCTATGATCTAAGGCTATTAAAAACTATCTGGGCCAGGTACGGTTGCTCATGCCTGTAATCCCAAAATTTTGGGAGGCCAAGGCAGGCGGATCATGAGGTCAGGATTTCGAGACTAGCCTGGTCAACATGGTGAAGCCCCATCTCTACTAAAAATGCAAAAATTAGCCGGGTGTGGTGGCACATCCCTGTAATCCCAGCTACTCAGGGGTCTGAGGCAGGATAATTGCTTGAACCCAGGAGGCAGAGGTTGCAGTGAGCCAAGATGGCACCATTGCACTCTAGCCTAGGCGACAGAGCAAGACTCTGTCTTGGGGAAAAAAAAAATTCTCTGTAGTCTCATATCCCTCTATACTCAACAGTCTATGGAGAAATAAGTATCTTGCACGCTTCCTCATTATGGCAAGAAGAACAGTCAGCTCAGGCTGAACACTGATTTTTTGAGGGAGAAATGCTACTCTGAGCAGGTGTTTTGAAATTATTTTTCCCAGGCAAAGCTATCCTTCCTATATTACAAAGTGATGAAGATTTTAAAAAATGTGTTTATAAAATATCACATGAAAAACACCTTCGGCCGGGTGCAGTGGCTCACGCCTGTAATCCCAGCACTTTGGGAGGCCGAGGCGGGTGGATCACAAGGTCAAGAGATCGAGACCATCCTGGTCAACATGGTGAAACCCCGTCTCTACTAAAAATACAAAAAATTAGCTGGGCATGGTGGCGCATGCCTGTAGTCCCGGCTACTCAGGAGGCTGAGGCAGGAGAATTGCCTGAACCCAGGAGGCAGAGGTTGCGGTGAGCCAAGATCGCGCCATTGCACTCCAGACTGGGTAACAAGAGCAAAACTCCATCTCAAAAAAGAAAAACACCTTCACAACAAAAATCATTCATTTCTATATTCCTTGCCTATAATATTTGGTACAGTGTTCTGCCATTTATTGTGCTCTCGCTAAAGAAATACATAGAACAGAGAGATCCAAAATCAGGTTTTAAAAGGGATAGGGAACTGATATTTCTATTTTTAAGGAATCTCTGCATCAATCCTGGCCTTTGTGCTATATTATAATTAAGGTTTTTTGTTGTTGTTTGTTTTTTAAAGCAAGATGATAAAACAGATCAGCATTATACTACTTCGATTAGAAAAAAGCCACTCATCATAGGTGGACCTCCATTCCTGGATTCTTATTTACCTCTGCAAAACATAGAGGGCTGAGGGCCTTAGCTACTGTGAAGAACAGCACACCATTACTGCAAGTAAGGCAAGATGTTTCACCTATAATTCTCTGTCCTGTAGTCCGATCATATGTGCCAATTTTACTTTGGAAAACAGTAATCAAGTATTGAGAATTAAATGCCAGAGACCTTTCAAGCAAGTGGGAGCCCACTCTATCTTCACACACTCCCCAGTTATTCTTCTGTACTGTCTAGACCTATTACCTCTCCAGTGTCTCTGATATTCCTGCAGAGGAGATCTCAAAGATGAGCTTTTTAATACGGTAACTAGCCATTTCTTCTGTTATAGCTTCTTTTCTCCTGTCTTGGCATCAGTTCCTATTAGAATGCCCTTCTCTTTGAAAAAATGAAAGATCAGTCTAGGTGTATTGGCTCATGCCTGTAATCCCAGCACTTTGGGAGGCCAAGGTGGGTGAATCACCTGAGGTCAGGAGTTCAAGACCAGCCTGACTAACATGGTAAAACCCTGACACTACTGAAAATACATAAATTAGCCAGTATGGTGGCACACACCTGTAATCCCAAGTACTTGGGAGGCTGATGCAGGAGAACCACTTGAACCCAGGAGGCAAAGGTTGCAGTGAGCCAAGATTGTGCCACTGCACTCCAGCCTAGTGACAGAATGAAACTGTCTAAAAAAAAAAAAAAGAAAATGAAAGATAGAACTTCTGAAAAATAGATTCATCCTATTTGCAGATATTCAAAACAGTTACCCTTAGGGAAATAAGGCACCTATAATGTGACCCCAGATTGACTACAGGAATAATACTGATATTTGGATCCTGTGTGGCTGCAAAAAAACATGACTTCCAAACATAAGCACTACTTTCCTGCCACAGGTCAGGCTGCATCTCACAGCACTGCTGTGCTGGTCTAACACACAAGCAGACTGGAGGCTCCAAAGAACTCAAAGAAATACAGATACAATTCTTCCTTAAAATAGAAAGTTACAATAACAGTTGGGTCTCTGGTTAACCTCATCAGTCCTTTCAAGTAATGTTTTCATGGTTGAGTGAGGAATATGGAAGAGCAATAGATGAGAGTGAGGAAACCTAGGTTCCAGTCCCAGCTCTATCACTTACTGGATGTGTGACCTCAGGCAACTACGCTTACCTCCCCTCACTCCCCACCCCCCAGCCTGTTTCCTTATCTGTAAAATGGGGATACAAATCCCTGCCTTGTCTACCACATGTTGTGACTGTGAGGATCAAATGAGATGCTATGAAAGTGCCTTGTAAACTGCAGTACTGACTGTAAAGGCTTTTAAAATAATAGTATATACTTAGTACATTTTAATTAGGTCCTTATCATTGCCTATTTGACTAGAAGTGCCCCATGCAGGATGTGCCTCGCAACAGACAGAACTGAAAAATAGGTGCTGTAAATATACACTGGTCCTTTTCACTGGGGGTGGTTTAAAAAAAAAAAAAAGAAAATTCTTATTCCTCAGCAATGGCTTCAGAATACATTACTTAAAAATGTGATGTCATCCAAATCTACCAATTGATAGAATTAATTTTCTCCAAATATATCCTATACAGTTGTAGTTTGGTCTGTTGACATCTTTACACAGAGGAGTCTAGAATTCAAAAAATAGTGTGCTAACACTAAACAAAAAATAAAAATACAACCAAATAGTTACAGTTGATTGTAAAGGAAATAAAAATTACAGGCATCATTATAATAAAATTAGGTCACAGTTCCTCAAATGGTCACCTTTTTCCTGAGATAGCTCCAGGACAGGGTCCTAGTCCTGTGAAGTGCTTTATAGAAGCTTAGTCTTGCTGCAGGTGAAAAGGACATGTGGGTTGGCAACTAGGCTGTGTTCATTTACAGCACGAGGATTTGATCAAGAAGGTCTGCTAGGAGCTGCCAAACAGCTTTGGTGGAGAAGCCCATATGGCCTAAGAGAGGCTTGCTAGTTCTCAGATGCCAGGCCAGAGTGTGGAGAACAGCTTAACACAGCCATCCAGTCCCACGATTTTCAATTCTTCCTGTAAGTTGGTTCTGCTCTTCTCCGGTCTAGTAAATAATTGAACAGAGGAAAAACAATGAGATGTGGAGCAATATATCTAACTGTGCTTTAGGGCCTTTCTCTGCCTAGCTGCACAAAGTTTACATGCAGAACAGACACACACACAAGAAGCAAATGTGACTTTGACTAGACTTTGAAATAGACTTTGACTAGCCCAGAGCACCCAGATTCCAGTATTCCTGTCAGAAGACTTTTATTACAAATGTTACAGGCGATGACTTGCAGGGAATCAGGTCACTGGAATCACTAGTTAACAAGATGGTTGTCCTTTGGGGCCACAGGTGTGTTGCTAACCTCCACTTTTCTTCCTGATTTGCTTTGCTTTCCGGGGTTTGAGGATGGTGTAGTTTACATATACTGTATACTGATCTGACAGGAAGGGGACATAGAATGCCCGCAGCAGCTTTGAAGATCTGAAAAACAAGGGTTAAAAAAAAAAAGAATTGTATCATTTGGGAGAATTTACTAATGGTACTAAAAGTGATTAAAAGAAATAAACTAAGCTCTGTAGTAAGGATTATATTTTATTCAAGTGGTACAGAAAAGCCTATTACTTAGGTACTAGATCACAGTGAAAGACTTAATTAAGGCCAAGTGCCTTGTCACCTATGTGAAAATTTATTATTGTCCCTAAGAAGCCCTCAGAATACCCTTCAGAATAGCTCTAGGTCTTCATTTTGCATTAGAATGTGCCACAGAAAAATTCCAGGTCAATCAAAGGACTGCTATTGCTGAAATGAATTTTTTTTTTTTTTTTTTTTTTTTNTTTTTTTTTTTTCCAAGAGACAGGGTCTCACTATTTTGCCCAGGCTGGCCTTGAACTCCTAGGCTCAAGCAGTCCTACTGCCTCGGTCTCCCAAAGTGCTGAGATTACAGGCATGAGCCACCTCTCCTGTCCCAGGGTTTTACTTTCTTTTTGTAGCAATTCCTTACTACTTGGGAGAATTGCTAGTTCATAATTTTATTCTTTTTAGAGTCTCCCAAAGAACAAAGATAAATTATATTTTTATTTATTCATTTTGAGACAGGGTCTTGCTCTGTTACCCAAGCTAGAGTACAATGGCACGATTATAGTTCACTGCAGCCTCGACCTCCTGAGCTCAAGCAATCCTCCTGCCTCAGTTTCCTAAGTACCTGGGCTACAAGTGTGCCTGGCTAACTTCTTATTTTTCATAGAGATGGGATTGCATTATGTTGTCCTGGCTGGCCTTGAACTCTTGGGCTTGAGGCTGCCTCAGCCTCCCAAAGTGTTAGGATTACAGGCATGCGCCACCATGCCTGGCCTTAGATTTAAAAATAGAATAAAACTCATTCTATCTTGTAATTACCATAAGGGCCCACTTTTTATAAATCTAAGGTACATTACAGGATCTTGGTAATCTTATTTTTTTCTATATCTTGAATTATTTACAACAATGCTTTAAAAATGCAATTGTAAAATAAGTAATCATGATTGCATTATCCTTCCATTTTTTTTTTATGGCATTGCCCAAAATATTGTGTCATTTTTAAATAAGGTATAAATGATTGGAGACACTATATTTGTAGTCTGCATTTAACTTTCATTGAACATAATTCAGAATCCAACATTTTTAAGTTACTGTTAATGAGAAGAAAATGGACAGAGGAAGATATTTCATGATTCTTAGACAAATCGGAAGATGAATACAAAGAGGCGAAGAGCAGGCATCCAGACCTAATGATGATAATGAAACTGATCTTACAAGCAAAATGTCAGACTAAGAGTCTTCATATGACAATACACTAGATGAATTTCCTCAAATTCAAGAACTGATGAGCAAACAATATATTTCTAAGGACAAAAAGGAAATAAGGTATTCTTGTATAGTCATTCATTCAGCAAGAAAGACTTTATCATGTAATGTTTTATAATAAGACCATGGATCACAGTGTTATGCTCAAATGACATGTAACTATATTCTTTCATCTTTTATGAGATTTGTATGTCAAATTTTACTTGATACAGTTCATAAGTGGACAAATGCTAAAGGCAGATATACAAAGGTAGAATACAGATGGAAGAATATAACAAAGTATACAGATGATGATGAATTTTTTTTTTTTTTTTTTTTTTGAGACAGAGTCTTGCTCTTTCGCCAGGCTGGAGTGCAGGGGCGCAATCTCGGCTCACTGCAACCTCTGGCTCCTGGGTTTAAGCGATACTTCTGCTTCAGCCCCGAGTAGCTGGGACTACAGACGTGAGCCACCATGCCCAGCTAATTTTTGTATTTTTAGTAGAGACAGGATTTCACCATATTGGTCAGGCTGGTCTCAAACTCCTGACCTCGAGATCCGCCTGCCTCTGCCTCCCAAAGTGGTGGGATTACAGGCATGAGCCCCCGCGCCCGACCCCTGAAATGAATTCTTAACATCAAAATGGTTTCTGCATCTAAGACACTGTAGAGATTCGAAGTACTCAAATGACCTGGACTCCAGCTCTAAGTTTTCCTGGAGAGGGGAAACTACATCCTGGGTGCCTATGCATAGTGTTCCAGTATTGTCTAAGTCAAGGAAAGAGTCTACACACAAGTTCATGTTGTGATGACATCTCCCTGGTAAATTATAATACATCTACTTATTACTGAAATATAAGAACTGAAAAACTAAATTTCTCATGAATTTCTGAAGAATGTGGAAAGTGCTTATACTTTTAAATATATTAACAGCTGGGCGTGGTAGCTCACGTCTGTAATCCCAGCATTTTGGGAGGCCAAGGCAAGGTGTGGATCTCTTGAGGTTAGGAGTTCAAGACCAGCCTGACCAATAAGGTGAAACTCCGTCTCTACTAAAAACACAAAAAAATTAGCTGGGCGTAGTCGTGCATGCCTGTAGTCCCAGCTACTCAGGAGGCTGAGGCAGGAGAATCACTTGACTCGGGAGGCAGAGGTTGCAGTGAGCTGAGATCGTGCCACAGCACTCCAGCTTGAGTGACAGAGTGAGACTCCATCTCAACAAAAATAAATTTAAAAAAAAGATGAATAAATATATTATTTAATCCATTTGATAATCCTATGAGAAAGCAGCATTATTATCCCTATTTTATAAATGGGAAATTAAGGCTTAAACTTGCTCAGGGTTACAGAGTAAGTGACAGAGGCCTCATTCAAATCCAGGTTTGACTCGAGAGTCTGTACTCTTAGCCATTATGGTTTATCATGCATCCCAGGAATAGACTAACAGGATTTATCATTTCCTAGAAAAAGTTGTAGTGATAGTTTTAAATTCTTTATGGAGTATTACTTCCTGACTGTGATTTCTGAGTCTGAAAATCAAAAGCTGGCCTAGTTACTGCCATCCTGAATGAGGTATCTGAAGGTGTTCCACTGCCAGTCCTTTATCAAATTCTAAACTTGTAAATGTCATGTCAACGTGGCATTTGTACTGGCAGCCTACCCTTGGATTTGGCAGACTCCTACAATGCCTGTGCACAATGATACTGTGCTTGGCATGCACGCCTCTTAGAGATTCTTCCCAACTAGGATGCTGGCAGTGCCCTGTGCTCTGCGAGATTCACTTCACTTCAACAGTGAACTTTATCAAGGGCTTTGATAGAGAACGGAGGTTTGGAGAAAAGACATGAGACAAAACAGGCTCCTGCAAATAAAATGAACAGGAGAAAGAAGTCCCTAGTCACGGAGAAGATAATGGCCAGGCACAGAGGCTCATGCTTGTAATCCCAATATTTTGAGAGGCTGAGGTGGGAGGATCCCTTGAACCCAGGAGTTTGAGCCCAGCCTGGGCAACAAAGTGAGACCTGTGTTTACAAAAAATTTTTTAAAATTAGCCTGGCAGCTGGGAGGCCGAGATGGGCAGATCAATGAGGTCGGGAGTTCCAGGCCGGCCTGGCCAACATGGTGAAACCCCATCTCTACTAAAAATAAAAAAAAATTAGCCGGGTGTGGCAGTGCCTGCCTGTAGTAGTAGTCCCAGCTACTCAGGAGGCTGAGGCAGGAGAACTGCTTGAACCCGAGAGGCAGAGGTTGCAGTGAGCCAAGACTGCGCCACCACAGTCCATCCTGGGTGGTAAGAGCAGAACTCCGCCTCAAAAAAAAAAAAAAAAAAAAATTAGCGTGGCAGGGTGGCACGCACCTGAAGTCCCAGCTATTCTGAAGGTTGAGCTGGTAGTATGGCATATGCCCAGGATTGAGGCTACAGTGAGCTGTGATCATGCCACTGGACTCCAGTCTGGGTGACAGTGCGAGATATTGTCTCAAAAAAAAAAAAAGTTAATTTACTCTTTTCATCTATACTGCACAAATAGGGTGAAGAGTAGAAACAGAAAGATGCAAAGTCCAGCAAACTCCTATAAGCTTTAGTAAAAAAAAAAAAAAAAGTATAAAACTAACAAGTGTAATTTCTATTCTGGTTGACTCTACAATAAAAGTTTCATTAATATAGTCATTGTATATTTTTGGTCAACTCAGTCCTTGGTATAACCTCAGGGTCCACTGGACCCAATTTTAGTGTTTGACTTTCTTTCTTTTTTTTTTTTTCCAAGAGACAGGGTCTCACTATTTTGCCCAGGCTGGCCTTGAACTCCTAGGCTCAAGCAGTCCTACTGCCTCGGTCTCCCAAAGTGCTGAGATTACAGGCATGAGCCACCTCTCCTGTCCCAGGGTTTTACTTTCTTTTTGTAGCAATTCCTTACTACTTGGGAGAATTGCTAGTTCATAATTTTATTCTTTTTAGAGTCTCCCAAAGAACAAAGATAAATTATATTTTTATTTATTCATTTTGAGACAGGGTCTTGCTCTGTTACCCAAGCTAGAGTACAATGGCACGATTATAGTTCACTGCAGCCTCGACCTCCTGAGCTCAAGCAATCCTCCTGCCTCAGTTTCCTAAGTACCTGGGCTACAAGTGTGCCTGGCTAACTTCTTATTTTTCATAGAGATGGGATTGCATTATGTTGTCCTGGCTGGCCTTGAACTCTTGGGCTTGAGGCTGCCTCAGCCTCCCAAAGTGTTAGGATTACAGGCATGCGCCACCATGCCTGGCCTTAGATTTAAAAATAGAATAAAACTCATTCTATCTTGTAATTACCATAAGGGCCCACTTTTTATAAATCTAAGGTACATTACAGGATCTTGGTAATCTTATTTTTTTCTATATCTTGAATTATTTACAACAATGCTTTAAAAATGCAATTGTAAAATAAGTAATCATGATTGCATTATCCTTCCATTTTTTTTTTATGGCATTGCCCAAAATATTGTGTCATTTTTAAATAAGGTATAAATGATTGGAGACACTATATTTGTAGTCTGCATTTAACTTTCATTGAACATAATTCAGAATCCAACATTTTTAAGTTACTGTTAATGAGAAGAAAATGGACAGAGGAAGATATTTCATGATTCTTAGACAAATCGGAAGATGAATACAAAGAGGC